GTCAAATCGTCTGCGTGCTTGATGGGGCCCTAGTTGGTGCACATTAAGGTTCAGATCCTTCCTTGGGTGATGCTGAATTTGGGTAAAGTCTCTTTAACACAAAGGATAAAGGCAAAAATTGGGTAAAATTGTAGAAAGGGGCAGAAGCAGAGTTCAGCAGAGGTTGACCCCTCCTAAAGATGGTGAACTAGTCTGGTGAAACTGGTCCCTTTTATGGTTGGAAGAGACTTGAAATGAGATACTAATGCAATCCTGTCTGCAGAGTACATATGCTGTGGTCAAAGTCCTGCAATTTAAGGATGTTAATGCAGCACTAAAGTAGTAGGCCACAATAGAGTATGGCCTGGGCCTCAGTGTGGTAAGCTGTGGCCTAAGGTGTACTGAAGTGAAAAAAAACAATTGAACTAAACAGTCACTTGCAACTTGTGACGATCTGGGTTAGGAACCCTCTCACCTGATTTGTAGCCTCTTCGGCATAACAGGTAGTCTCTCTGTTGGGGGCCCCCATGTTCTCTTCTGCCTGCAGGGTTGTCTGTCCTGCTTGTCAGCAATACATGCGGTCTGCAATCGTTCCCTACTTCTCCGTTCAGCGGCACAATCCTGCCCGGATCTCCAGAGTCCTTCTCCACACCCCGTCCTTCCCTCTCACCATCCACTTCTTTCCTGAACAGTTCCTGGGCTACTCAATATAGATGCTCCAGCCCCTTTGCTAGTGCTTCTGGGAAATGTAGTCTGTTCACTCTGAGCGCAGAAGTCCTGCTGCCAGCATACAAGTTCAACAAGGCTTTTCTTCACTAGAGTCTGCATACTTGAACTGAACAGCAGACCACTGCCATCTTGTGCTCACTTAACATCCTGCAATGAGTACTAATGCAGGGTGTTATATACATAAAAGGCTAAGTTTATTATTCTTGACTCAACCAGAGCACTAGTTGGTCATGTTAAAAACATATAGATCAAAGATAAAAGACAACATCAGAGTGTCAGAAAAACATGTAGACAGAACCCCAAAAGCTTTGTATGGGCTCAACCACAGCTTCCTTCTACATCTAACACATACACCTATCTAATAATAGGCCATAAATTGGACCCCTCCAGTGTATATCATATACATGTACATCAGAAATTTACAACAAGGTAAGTATCAATCTGTAGAGCTGTGGTAGAGTTGCCAGTATCTTGACGTGCTTCGCAAGAAAGCTTCTTCAGGAGCGGGCGTTCTGAGGACTAGAACAGTAAAGGGAGAACAATAAAAAAACACATAATACAAAAAATCATTACAATATTAACACAATGTGGTCTGATTTGGTGCAACCCAGCCCCATGTAGACATACACAAAATAAAGGAATAATACATAAAATATTTACTGATAAGCATGCCTAGATGGAACCAGGGTCACACACAGGATAATGCAGAGGAGACTGAAATGGGGCAACAGCACTGGGTGCCACAATATTTTAAATGAAAAAGACACAAATAAGGGAACTCCAAGTACATTGATACATATAAAGAACCACAAAAAAACAAAGGGGACTTTACTGGTACAGAAAAGGGACAACCTCCTATTATTGTATAAAAACATGTTTATTGAAACATATCTTCCAAAAATGTACCATAAAAACAGTATTTTAGCTAGTCAGCCCAATAGTTTACAGCATTATATATCATGACATCAAAGTTCTCCAGAGGTCGACGCGTTTCACCTATTAGCTTCTTCAGGAACCCGAAAGAGTTGGAGGCCAAAGAAGTCCAATGCCCTAGCTGGAAGATACATATATATATATATATATATATATATATATATATATATAAACATTAGTTAAATAATTGTAATTATTACACAAACTTTACCAAAAGAAACCATCTCCACAAACTCAAATGTCACCATAAGCCGTAAAAAAGGGTAGCAGCATCCACACAGTGGTTAAAATGGTCATAGATGAATATCCTCACACACGGCCAAATCCCCTCATACCCCACACAGTGGCGGCCCTGTAAATAGACCAAATAATCATATTTTCATCCTAAACAGAAAGTGGGGGGAGAGGAGAAGAAGAGGAGAAAAGTAGGTGAATAAGAAAAATCCCAAATATGACTCACACTAGGTAACTCACTGGAAAAGAGGCAGACAGCAAAACTATCCACATATCGATGTCAAACATATGCGATATGTCCTGTGCACACTCTCCATGGAGCAGTCTAAACACAATAATACAGAGTCAGTGTGAGCATCCACATTTCTCACCGTTCCATCAATACCACTCAACCTTACATTGGTAGGTGGGCCTAAGGCCAATAACAGTCCAGTCCACCAGATATCATCCATAGCCGAGTGTTCAAACTACATCTATTACAATCTCATGGGCAGAGTCTCATTAACGGTATTTATCAGCTCCCCCCAAAATTTTTGGAAAAGGATATATGACCAACATCTACTATATTAGATTAAATTTGCTCTACACACCTATTGGAAGACATGTGGCTCTGAAACACATTCATAATATAGATACAGGTGAAACTCGAAAAATTAGAATATCGTGCAAAAGTTAATTTATTTCAGTAATGCAACTTAAAAGGTGAAACTAATATATGAGATAGACTCATTACATGCAAAGCAAGATAGTTCAAGCCGTGATTTGTCATAATTGTGATGATTATGGCTTACAGCTCATGAAAACCCCAAATCCACAATCTCAGAAAATTAGAATATTGTGATAAGGTGCAATATTCTAGGCTCAAAGTGTCCCACTCTAATCAGCTAATTAAGCCATAACACCTGCAAAGGGTTCCTGATCCTTTAAATGGTCTCTCAGTCTGGTTCAGTAGGAATCACAATCATGGGAAAGACTGCTGACCAGACAGTTGTGCAGAAAACCATCATTGACACCCTCCATAAGGAGGGAAAGCCTCAAAAGGTAATTGCAAAAGAAGTTGGATGTGTCCCAAAGTGCTGTATCAAATCACATTAATAGAAAGTTATGTGGAAGGGAAAAAGTGTGGAAGAAAAAGGTGCACAAGCAGCAGGGATGACCGCAGCCTGGAGAGGATTGTCAGGAAAAGGCCATTCAAAAGTGTTGGGGACTTTCACAAGGAGTGGACTGAGGCTGGAGTCAATGCATCAAGAGCCACCACACACAGACAGATCCTGAACATGGGCTTCAAATGTCGTATTCCTCTTGTCAAGCCGCTCCTGAACAACAAACGTCAGAAGCGTCTTACCTGGGCTAAAGAAAAACAGATCTGGTCTGTTGCTCAGTGGTCCAAAGTCCTCTTTTCTGATGAGAGCAACGTTTGCATCTCATTTGGAAACCAAGGACCCAGAGTAAGGACCCAGAGTATGGAGGAAGAATGGAGAGGCACACACTGCAAGATGCTTGAAGTCCAGTGTGAGGTTTCCACAGTCTGTGTTGATTTGGGGAGCCATGTCATCTGCTGGTGTTGGTCCACTGTGCTTCATTAAGTCCAGGTCAACGCAGCCATCTACCAGGAGATTTTGGAGCACTTCATGCTTCCTTCCACAGACGAGCTTTATGGGGATGCTGAAACCCAAACTAGTTTATAACCAAAAATTATAGTTTTTGCCAAAAAAATATTTTTTTACATTATTATTTTATTTTTTTATATTATTATTTATGGTTTTTTTAACATACTGTCACCCTAGCACCCTGTTGCCCCACCATGGTGACACTGTACTACAAGATTTTTTTTTTTTTTTACACTGATTGCTTTTACACCCATAAGGGCTGTAAAAGCAATCATTTCTCCTTCTCTCTGGCTGCATTCTTGCAGCCATTGAGAAATACTGTGTGAGCTGTGATTGGTCACAGCTTGTCGCATGGTACAAGGCTTTTGTTGTGAATAGCCTTGTACCATGTGACCTTTGTGATCATTCACAGATTTCACACGTAGTAAGCAATGATGTCAGAAGTGACATCTTGCTTACTACTCTGCATGTGATCACTGATTGGCCAATCAGTGATCACATGATCAGACCTCGCACAGAGTTCCTGTATGGCGATCAGTGTTCCACTGTGTCCGGAGGACACAGCGGGCACCGGATCGCGGTGCTGCGCACTCCCAGGGAGCGAGCACAAGCAGGGGAGGGAGGCCGCCCCTGCACTGTCACAGTCCGGCCGTTTATATACAACGACAGGATGGGAGGTGGTTAAATGCAACCTACCCTCCTGGCATCAATGAGGCATTGTGTTATACACCCTTCTTATAAGATGGGTATTTTAATAGCCATTGGTGTGGATATTTCTGTGTGTTTTCTCGGTAGATATGTGATCATCCTTTGTTATGATTATGTTATGGGGTTGATTTACAATTATATAACACTTTTTGCTACCATAAATCCCACTTGTGAGAACGGTGCTATGGGGCGCTAACTTTGTTGATTTATACAGATTTTTTGTTTAATCTTTGATAAATTATTCTCCACATTAATGTAACATATGTCATGGAAGGGGGTTTTTGGGGATTGCGACGCCTACTTGTGGTCTGGTCTGGATGGATATTTGTGCTCTTGGCCTCTTTGTCGTCTATATTGGTAATCCTATAGATTTCTCAAATACGGGGGAGCTGATAAATACAGTTAATGAGACTCTGCCCATGAGATTGTAATAGATGTAGTTTGAACACTCGGCTATGGATGATATCTGGTGGACCGGACTGTTATTGGCCCTAGGCTCACCAAGGTGGTGGAGTTGAGGTGGTGGGAGTTGAGTGGTGGCCGCGTTCGGCCACTATTTGGTGCTCCTGTGTTGTGCTTAGGGTTGCTCTTTAGGTGCATATGATTGAGACTGGGGGGTTATTAACCACTAGCCTACAGGGTACTTATACCCCCTTCCTGCCCAGGCCAATTTCCAGCTTTCAGCGCTGTCACACTTTGAATGACAATTGCGCGGTCATGCAACACTGTGCCCATATTAAATTTTTATCTTTTTTATAGACCGATAGAGCTTTTATTTTGGTGGTATTTAATCAACTCTGGGTTTTTTTATTTTTTCTTAAACCAAAAACCACTGAAAATTTTGAAAAAAAAAAACGTTTTTTCTTAGTTTTTGTTATAACATTTTGTAAATAAGTGATTTTGCTCCTTCACTAATGTGCGCTAATGAGGCTGCAGTGATGGACACTGATAGGTGGCACTGATGGACACTGATGAGGAGGCACTGGTAGGTAACTCTGATGGGCATTGACAGGCATCACTGATGGGCACTGAAAGGCAGCACTGATATATGGCACTGATAGGTGGCACTGACTGGCACTATTAGGTGGCACTAACTGGCACTGTTAGGCGGCACTGACTGGCACTGATAGGCAGCACTGACTGGCACTGATAGGTGGCACTGATTGGCAGCACTGATAGGTGGCACTGATTAGCATTGATAGGTGGCACTGACTGGCACTGATGGGTGACACTGAAAGGCAGCGCAGATGGGCACTGATATGTGACATTGATGTGCACTGGTAGGCACTGATATGTGGCATTGATGTGGCACTGATGAGCACTGACAGCTGGCACTGATGGACACTGACAGGTGGCACTGCTGGGGCTACACTGATCATCAGGGCACACTGATCATCAGTGCTCTGATGATCAGTGTAGATGTCCCCTCCGAGGAATGCCGATTACCGGCTCTCCTCTCCTCTCGAGCTGTCAGCGTGACAGCTCGTGAGGAGAGAAATGCCGATAACTGGCATTTCCCTGTTTACATGTGATCAGCTGTGATTGGACACAGCTGATCACATGACCAAGCCGACATCTTCGGCTCTTTCCATGGATCGGTGATCCGCTGTATCCGAGGGACACAGCGCACCACCGATCGCCGCGCAATGCGCGCTCTTGGAGCCGCGCATGCGCGGTGAGAATGGGAGGACGTCATATGACGTCCTCCCAGAACAAGAGAACCACCTTGCGCCCGTCATTGGACTATATGGCAGGCGGGAGGTGATTAAGGAGAATATACAGGTGTCATGGCTGTCTTTTAGATGTGAAGATGCACTTCCACCCAAAAACTGGTAAGGGCCTAAGTGACTTAGATACGCACACGCGATGTGCGCCGACCGCAGGATGGGCAGTTCATTCCCATGGGATGAATCAGTCGGCCTTGTTTGACGACATCATTTAAATGCCCCAATAGATGAGTGATTTGGCGCCAGTGTTGAAGGATGCACACAGAGGCATGTTGTTTGGAGTGGTTGGAGTTGGGAACAGTACTGTTTACTGAATATGGCCACATATTTATGTGATTAAAGGAGCTATATGTGGATGATCCCAGTGACTGACACTGAAGAGTTGTTGGACAAGCAATTTAGTGATACTGCATAATTATTATTTGTGGGTGGACTTTTTCTATCTCCACCTTGATGTTGGGATTACCAGGTATGAGTCTACCGATTTAAGGTTGAGTGGTATTGATGGAACGGTGAGAAATGTGGATGCTCACACTGACTCTGTATTATTGTGTTTAGACTGCTCCATGGAGAGTGTGCACAGGACATACCGCATATGTTTGACATCGATATGTGGATAGTTTTCCTGTCTGCCTCTTTTCCAGTGAGTTACCTAGTGTGAGTCATATTTGGGATTTTTCTTGTTCACCTCCTTTTCTCCTCTTCTTCTCCCCCTCCCCACCCCCTTAGGATGAAATATGATTATTTGGGTATATTTACAGGGCCTTACTGTGTGGGGGTATGAGGGGATTTGGCCGTGTGTGCAGATTTTCATCTATGACCATTTTAACCGATGTGTGGATGCTACTACCCTTTATTACTGCTCATGGTGACATGTGAGTTTGTGGAGATGGTTTCTTTTGGTAACGTTTGTGTAATAATTACAATTATTTAACTAATGTTTTGTGTATATATATATATATATATATATATCTATGCACATATGTATCTTCCATCTAGGGCATTGAACTTCTTTGCCTCCAACTCTTTTGGGGTCCTGAGGAAGCTAATAAGCGAAATGCTTTAACCTCTGAAGGACTTTGATGTCATGATATATAATGCTGTAAAACTATTAGGCTGACTAGCTAAAATACTGTTTTTATGGTAAATTTGTGGAAGATATGTTTCAACAAACATGTTTTTATACAATAATAGGAGGTTGTCCATTTTCTGTACCAGTAAAGTCCCATTTGTTTTTTTGTGGTTCTTTATACGATATATGAGGGATGAGGTGCATTTGCAGTCTGGTTTTATATAATGATACATTGATACATACACAAAAATGTGTGTATATGTCAACTCTATCCTGACATTACTAAACCTACAGTTCTTCACATTCTCAGGAGCTAGGAATCAATTCTTCTGCAAAAGTTCAAGCTGCCAGCAGCCAGCATAGGTGCATACTATGTTATATTGTGCACAAGCTATTCCCAGTTCTGTTATGCATATTTAGCGTGCGAGCCGACTTACCAATAGAAAAAATAGCAACAGATTTGTTCTCTGGCATATAACACTAACCAAAGTGTTAAACATTGAAGAGGTGTCTGTGACCATAGTTCTTCATCGGAGTGAGTCAGCACACACTAGAAAGGTGGGTATGAGCATTTCCCTTTTAAATGGGCCCTTTGTTTAAAAAAAAAAAAAAAAAAAACTGTTGACATGGTCTGTATAAAATTAGACTCAAGGCAGACATGAAAGACTCTGTGACTCTAGGGAACAAAAGTAAGTGTAAAAAGTCTTTTGTCGTTCTTCTCTTTTAAGCATACTTAGCATGGGCAGCACAGTGGCTAACTGGTTAGCACTTCCGCCTGGCAGTACTAGGGTTGTTGGTTTTAATCCCAGCCATGGCACCATCTGCCTGGAGTTTGCACATTCTTGCTGTGCCTGCGTGGGTTTCCTTCGGGTTCCTCCCACACTCCAAAAACATACAGGTATGTTAATTGGATCCTGTCTAATTTGGCCCTAGTATATGAATGTAAGTTAGGACCTTAGATTGTACGCCCCATCAGGGTTAGGGACTGATGTGAATGTACAATATATGTGTAAAGCACTGCATAAATTGACGGCACTATATAAGTACCTAAAATAAATAAAACTAACTCATGGGGGGTTATTTACTAAAACTGGAGAGTGCAAAATCTCGTGCAGCTCAGCACAGAAACCAACAAGCTTCCAGGTTTTATTGTTAAAGCTTCATTGAACAAGCTGAAGTTAGAAGCTGATTGGCTACCATGCACATCTGCACCAAGATTTTGCACTCTCCAGTTTTCAGTAACTTTCCCCAGTGTGTATATAGCTGTAGTGACTCTTATACTGGGAAACGGAGGGTCATTAATCTGAGCCAATCAGGGCTCTTTTATTTTGCACACTGCTCTCTATCAAGTGACAGCATCCATAAAGTCTCCTGTCATCCTAATACTGGTATACATGCTCTTCGGCATTTGGAGGAGGAGTGGTTTCATTTGAAGAAGTGTTACCTAAAAAAGGGTAACCCTTCCTAAAGCTGGTCATAAATGAAAGTCACACAAATATACTTAAAACGGAGTTCCAGTCAAACTGTAAAAAGTGTGTATAAGTCAGCAACTACAAAAACTGTAGATTCTGACTTTTAAAAAACAACCACTCACATGTCCACTGATCCCGCGGTGTCCTCCCCGCACAGCCCGTCTCACCAGCCGTCCTGTGTTCCCGGCGCCAGCATCCTCAATGTGGGCACCCGGCTGCAACAGCTTGCAGCTTCACAGCCAGGTGCCCACTGCGCATGCGCAAATAGCGTTGCACATTGTGAATGGTCCCGTAGTATTCTGGGGGAGGGGGGAGGACAACTTCGCCTAGGCCAGTGGTCTCCAAACTGTGGCCCTTTGCTTGCTTTTATCTGGCCCTTGGGGCACTATTTCATCCACTGACACCAATGATAGGGCAAAATTCCTCCTAAGGACACCAAAGATAGAGCACAATTTCTCCCAATGACACCAACAATGGGGCACAGTACCTCCCAATGACACCAGCGTTGGGGCATAATTCCTCCTAATAGCATCAAAGATATGGTGCAGTTCCTACCAATGACAGCAACTATGGGGCACAGTTCCTCCCAATGACACCACTGATGGGGCATAATTCCTCCTAATGACATCAAAGATGAGGCACAATTCCTACCAATGAAAGCAAAAATGGGGCACAGTTCCACCCAATGACACCAACAATGGGGCATAATTACTCCTAATGACATCAAAGATAGGGCATAGTTACCACCAATGACAGCAACAATGGGGCACAGTTCCACCCAATGACACCAACAATGGGGCATAATTACTCCTAATGACATCAAAGATAGGGTACAGTTACCACCAATGACAGCAACAATGGGGCACAGTTCCTCCCAATGACACCAACGATGGGTCATAATTCCTCCTAATGACATCAAAGATACAGTAGGGCACAATTCCTACCAATGACAGCAACAATGGGGCACAGTTCTACCCAATGACAACACCGATGGGGCATAATTCCTCCCAATGACATCAAAGACCGGGCACAATTCCTACCAATGACACCAACAATGGGGCACAATTCTTCTCACTGACATCAAAGATGGGGCATTGTTTACTCTCACTGATGCTGGGATATTTTCTGTTCCTAATGGCAACGGTCCAGCCCCCCCTAAGGTCAAAAGGACAGTAAACTGGCCCTTTGTTTGGAGAGTTTGGAGACCTCTGACCTAGGCGATCGCAGCGGAAGTGGAAGCGGTTACCTGTCAATTTTGGGTCCTCACTCCACCCAAAACTTCCCCTTTTGGGTGGAGCTCCACTTTAAGAACATTCATACAAAAATGTTCAGTATGTTAAATGACTTGATAAATAATGTTTGAAAGTACTTTAGTTTGCTTTTAGGGCTTGTTCACACCATGGTGCAGAAGCATTGGTTTTTCTGCACATGTTCTGCAAGGCGCAACAAAATCAATTGTTCTCTATGTGCCCTGTTCACACCGCAACACTAGAATCATGTGCAGATTTTTTTGCACAGGAATCTGCAATGTATATAAAGCTCGTTGAAGCATGCATAAAAACTGATGTAAAACTGATGTCTCTGAAAGTGAAATCTGCCTGTCAGTTTCCATCAGTTTTTTCTGCACGTATGGTGTAAATGAGGCCTTAACATTCAGTTTTAGAGTGAATGGACTTTTCCAACTGAAATCCACATTATCTATTTGAAATTCATTAATTCAAGAAAAATATTCCATCCTACTCCTTCAAATTCAAAAAACTGTTGTAGAAAACAAATGTAGATTTGATCCCACTAATGATTAGAAAATTAAATAAACATTCTTAAAACAAAACAATTTGAACACAATTCTACTAGTGTATAGGCAACTTTAGTCAACTGTGTTAAATGCTGACTACACAGGACCCAGAGTGGGTGCCAGCATAGTAGGGTTATGTGAAACTCACCTGCTGCTAGCACATAGATAATGATTCCCTCCCTGGTAAACAAGTAAATAGGTCTTCTATATTCTCAGTGGCTGAGAAGCCAGCTGCACCTGCCCCCTCTCCAGCCTGACGCTCCAGTGAGCACTGGAGGGGAAGAATGGAAAGCAGAGACTGACAGTCATTGCTCTCTGCTCTGAGAGGGCCGAGAACTGAGTGATCAGTGGTCATGTGAATGCTCAGTTCTGTGTCTAAGACCTGATGTGGGACAGCTGCAGCATATCGGCGATGCTGCACCACTGAGGTAAGTATGTATGTTTATTTTTTTCCAAGTGCCTGTATATACCTATCCATTAAGGATACTGGTTTCAAGATATTAAATAAAAAATATATTTTTGTAAATGTATATATTGTT